CTGCGTTCTCTAGGCTCAGCCCTTAAAAGCACATAAAAATTAGATCCAAGCTTATATTGTTGTAGCGGCGTATTATCACCTGGATGTGACTTCAACGTCGAGTGCCAGCTCCCAAGCCCTGCCTTATACACTAGTTTAATGCAATAACTTTTCCAGTTTTTGTTATATTTACTTGTTTAATTCTGGTATTGTGTTAGCTTCAACCACTGTTCGTTCGATCATTCATTTGCAACTAATGCACTGTAAAAAGTTCTTTATGACACCTGACAATTTTTTCTATACTTTCTTCCTGTGCCCTAGTTCTGCTTACCCTGAACGAGGATTCTTGCCAAGAAGACCCCGCCCCCCTTCTCCTCCACTGCGGTGAAGTCCAGTTCCCCCAGGAGAGGAACAACACTTATTGTTGCTTATCTTTAGACCTTTTCTACTTTTGTGTTGCGCTTTTTACAAATGTAGTTTCCATATCAAGACCGCGTCCCACAAAAGGCCCTCGGAAGGCATGCCGCAAGGCGCGTATGCGCCATTGCCGAACCGTAACGAAGTAAACAAAAGGCACCAGAAAAAATGGCATTCGAAACTATGCGTAAAGCTAACTGGGTAAGAAAGATGGGAGGGAGAGGTGAGAAGATAAGGGTTTAGGGATGTGTGTGTGTGTGTGTGTGTGTGTGTGTGTGTGTGTGTGTGTGTGTGTGTGTGTGTGTGTGTGTGTGTGTGTGAGAGAGAGAGAGAGAGAGAGAGAGAGGGGGGGATGTCCATACTTACACTACCGTTTATACTCGACGCACAACGTGGAGGACCACTTGTCGGGGTGTGAGCCCTGGTGGACCACACAGCCAACACTGGCACGCGCCTGTAAACTGCATACAATAGTTGAAAGATTTACGACCATGTGTAAAAGACGAGACTCCATCCCACTTTCCCCTCTTTAAACCCACTCTCTAAAGCATTCTTCTCTTCCCCTTCCCCTACCCATGCTCTCGGCGCCAAACTGAATGAAGCGTAAATAATTATAATAGTGATAAATCTAATGTGCACAAAAAGTATACACTAATACTTCCCCTTTATCATACGACTTTTACATGTAGGCCTAGAGTAACTTATCTATTTCAGATTTCAATTGCAAGAATAGATCAAATAAATTTATATAAATTCGGAATAAAACTGGAAAAAATCCACATCGTAAAACGTGTTAAAATGACGTGTACCTCCTCATACTAAAGTAACATCCGCCTTTTCACAAGCTAGAAAAAGGGTATTAATACGACTATTCGGATGACAATATACCTCCAGACTGGCCACTCTTTTTAACAGTTGAAAGGCTTATCTTTTACGTGCAGTGAGTTCAGACGCCCACGGAGTCGTTACCTATCATGATGTGTAGTGGGGAGGGTGAGGTACAGGCACCCCCCCCCCCCCCCGACAAGGTCTGTTGGGGGGCGATCTGTAGTAATCGCCAATTTCAGCCAGTAATAATCAGGAAGCCATAATAAAAACATATCTATGTGGTTGACCTTCATACGAGTGGTACACTATTTACCGCCTACCACTATCACCTGACACTAAAATTCGTTTAGTTTCTTGCCTACGACAGAAATTTAACTCCCCTTTTCCTGGCCGCTCTAGACAGGTTTTTTCACGCCCTCCCCACCAACCCCCCACTCTGGGTGCTGGTGGCAGACGTCTGGGGGTAGGTTGGCACTGGCACTGTCTAGCTCGCTTCGTGCCAGCTGAGTGTCGCCATCATGCCAAGAAGGCTCCCCCTACTATATCCCCCCCTCATCTACCTCGTCCCACTTCTCCTCCCGTGCTATCAAGCTCTTGTCCTTGTGTATAGTGCATTCCCAGATAAACCCCTTACTTGGTACATACACTCCGTATACTTGGGGTCATTCTCAAGAGGCTGGGTGGACCTCTTGTTGACTCCTAGCCTAGGGTTTTCCGTCAAGGAATGTGGGAGAACCTATCGTGCCCAACGGGTCCCCGGCAGTGGTTGTCGCTTGGTAGTGGCTGGGAATGCCAGGCTAGGGGACCTCAAGCCCCAGGCACGAGAGGAACGCAGTAGCAGCAAAACCCGCACTTCGACGTTTCTTCCTGCTCTATTTTTTTATTTTTAGTTATACCGTGGTGTAGGTGGGTAGCTGACGCGCTACACTCTTCGCTCCTGATAACTCGATGCCTCTGAACGAGGTTTCAATAAAAGTACATTTTCAATTACCGCCGGAGCAAAGTTTGGTAATTAAATACCTTGAATACCAAGGCTTAATGGGTTGGGGGAGGGGGTGCGCGGGAAGAAAAAGTTGGAATTCTCGAAAATCATACTTTTATTCCAACCTGTCACATTAATGCCAAGTCTGTCCATGCTTGCCTTATTATTCCTCTGATTATTTTGTTTGTGATAATTACATCTCTTCTTCTTGTTCTTCTTCGTTTCTTCTCTCTTTCACTATGGTACTTTTCTAATAGCATACCTCTGGACTTGTTTAACTTTGTTTTGTATTCAACAATATATGGCACCACATATTCCAGAATTTGTCTGCCAGTGGTATACCAGATCAAATGATTCCTTATTATAAAAAATGTAGTTATATTTGCCAGTTTGATATAGTCCAGCAGATCATAATGTCTGGTTAGTGTGGGCCTCAGCATCCAAGGTGTGATATTGCTCCAAAAATATATTTATCTTTGATCTCTTGTGTCGTACTGTGTTGAAGGCGTCAGTCTCCCGCCCCCCCCCCCCCACCCTTACCCCCCTAAAAAAATGCAGCTTCCCCATCCCTTTCCGTCTTGTTTTACTCCTGTTACGCAGTCAATGAAATTTACAAGTGTGTGAGAGTGGTAGAGCGAAAGAGCGATGGACTCCAACCATCAGGAGTTCTCCCTTCGCCATCACTCTTTGCGTTTTCTATGCGGATGATTCACCCATGAGGCTGGGTGACCGCGCGGGATCGCTGCCAGTCTTAAAGTATCGTTACCAGGCGCCATTAATCTGGAGACGTCACCACAGCCCTTGTGTAAATCATGGCTAGTTTTGTGTCTGGGGACGCCAGGCTCTTGTGTCCCACGGAAACCACTGTAATGCACGCTGGTTCTTTTTTACATATAAAGACTATAATTCTTGTGGGCTGGACTTTGTGGAATAGTAAACAAATAACTGAAGATAATAGGTAATACCTGATATATATCTCTTAAGAAATATATATATATATATATATATATATATATATATATATATATATATATATATATATATATATATATAATGAAGGTGAAAACATGGGGGGATACATAAGGGATAAACAAAATCCCCCCATGTTTTCACCTTCATTGTATTATCACCTGACCTAATGCGGGTATAAAATCAACTAATATATATATATATATATATATATATATATATATATATATATATATATATATATATATATATATCGCTGTTCAGAGGGGAAATGCGTGCTGTATCTTGGGAACGCACCCGACCCCCGAGGAGCTGGACGAGGTCTTCGAACACTGATTGGTATATTGTTATATAAGTGTGTGTTTTCTATATATATATATATATATATATATATATATATATATATATATATATATATATATATATATATATATATATATATATATATATATATGTCGTACCTAGTAGCCAGAACGCGCTTCTCAGCCTACTATGCAAGGCCCGATTTGCCTAATAAGCCAAGTTTCCCTGAATTAATATATTTTTTCAAATATTTTTCTTATGAAATGATAAAGTTACCCATTTCATTATGTATGAGGTCAATTATTTTTATTGGAGTTAAAATTAACGTAGATATATGACTGAACCTAACCAACCCTACCTAACCTAACCTAACCCATCTTTATAGTTTAGGTTAGGTTAGGTATCCGAAAAAAGGTAGGTTAGGTTGTCGAAAAAAACATTAATTCATGAAAACTTGGCTTATTAGGTAAATCGGGCCTTGCATAGTAGGCTGAGAAGTGCGTTCTGGCTACTAGGTACGACATATATATATATATATTAAAATATATATATATATATATATATATATATATATATATATATATATATATATATATATATATATATATATATATATGTCGTACCTAATAGCCAGAACGCACTTCTCAGCCTACTATTCAAAGCCCGATTTGCCTAATAAGCCAAGTTTTCATGAATTAATGTTTTTTTCGACAACCTAACCTACCTTACCTAACCTAACCTACCTTTTTTCGGATACCTAACCTAATCTAAACTATAAAGATGGGTTAGGTTAGGTTAGGTTATGTTTTTTCGTCTACCTAACCTACCTAACCTAACCTAACCTAGCCTAACCTAGCTTTTTTTGGCTACCTAACCTAACCTTACCTATAAATATAGGTTAGGTTAGGTTAGGTAGGGTTGGTTAGGTTCGGTCATATATCTACGTTAATTTTAACTCCAATAAAAAAAAATTGACCTCATACATAGAGAAAAGGGTTGCTTTATCATTTCATAAGAAAAAAATTATAGTAAATATATTAATTCAGGAAAATTTGGCTTATTAGGCAAATCGGGCCTTGAATAGTAGGCTGAGAAGTGAGTTCTGGCTACTAGGTACGACATATATATATATACTGTATATATATATATATATATATATATATATATATATATATATATATATATATATATATATATATATATATATATATATATATATATATATATATATATCTATCTAGGGATGTGGCCAGCCACCTTTCGCAGATATGGTGGGTTGTGGTAAGGTCATTATTTGGACCGACCTCCCACTTAATAGGACCGGCCTTAAGTAACATATGTCCATTCTGTATCCCAGACCATTCACACTGCAAAGTTGGGTGAGGCTAGCTTACAACCTTGGATAGATATTTTCTCTTATATAGGTATAGATGTACAGCAGAGTATACAAGCATAAAATCGATAGTAAGAATACAGGTTCGTCACTATGACCACACTAACCACCCTATTTTTCTCCCTGCAGAAGACGAGGTTGATGTAGTAACGTGTAGCGACCCCAATGAAACTGCGACTACCACCACCATCTCTCTGGGAAACTACACCATCTACTCCCCCAGCTCTTCCTCCTCATCTCCAGTAAACTCCACCACACCAACCTCTGCCCCCTCCTGCCTTCAAGTCCCGTCCAAACGCTCAGTAGATGTCAAACGACAACTCCAACTGGCCATCCAGGAGGCCATGAGGAATCGGCACAATCGTGTTCCTGGTTCAACGTCTCCCGAAAGTGATGAAGTAGCGAGCAACAGATTCGTGTCTGTGAAGATAAAGACACAGGGAAAGCCAGCCGCTTATACCAAGCGCATGAGAGACTACCATACTGAGGTGGGTGTTGGGAACGTATTGTCATGCCTGTTATTTTGGAAGTTACTAAGATATACAGCACTGTGTATGTGAGTTTGTATTTATATTTACCTTAATATTTTTCCTGCCAAATAACCCTGCTAATGAGAGCCTTTCTTCTGAAAGGTAATAAAGTCAACGAAGCATAAACGAAGGAACCGCGTCGAGTCTGATGAAGGTCGACGGTCTGTACACAATTCTTTGGAGAGACAGAGAAGAGTAGACCTGCGCAATGCCTTTGAGTACCTCCGCCAGCTAGTACCTGACACCAAGGTCTTGGAAAAGGCCCCCAAAGTCCAGATACTGAAGAAAGCAGCACTACACTGCAAACAACTTCACCTTACTGAACAGCGGCTACTCAAAGAGAAGGAAAAATTGAAAAAACAGTTGGAAGAGCTTCAGCAGCGAAGATTGCAAAGTAGTTGAGTTGGTGCTGTCCGCCACTCACCTGTACAGATAGTTGTAAGGCATAAATTGTTTAAAATTGTACATATTTAATATCAAAGATAACAAATAAAGGGAGCACCGAGAGTGAGAGAGAAAGAACCTTTTCAGACTTTGATATAAGCAGCCTTTATGTATATGTGTGATATTTTGAGTGCCTATTTGTTTCTCGTGCTGCACTAGAAAATGTGAAAGGTCAGTTCCTTGTTGACTCTTAAGGTTGTCACATTGTTTCAGTGGCTCGATGTGATCTCTTACATAGCCCATTATTATTATTATTATTATTATTACTATTATTATTATTAAATCAGAATATTTAAACTAATTATTAGGATGTATATTGAACCAAAAACTGCAGAGATTAATTAGCTTGCCACCATATGTAGAAAAGAGAATCGGTTGTGTAAGAGATATTTTAATTCTTCAGATATTTCAGAATGTTTTTTTTAATGAGGTTTTTATTCTAATATTAAAAAGTTTGGATGAACCCTATTTAATACTGCAGGTATCATACCAAAGCAAGAGTGAGGCTTCTCTGAAATAATGGAAATAATGTGTATGTATCACCTTAAGTTTGAAGATGAATCAGTATATAACTCAGTTGTATGTTCCTTAATATATATATATATATATATATATATATATATATATATATATATATATATATATATATATATATATATATATATATATATATATATATATATGCTAGCCATGATCCTAGAATACAATGCAAAAAAGCGATATTTGTGTGTGACCTGTTTGTATGTCTGGCTGACAAAGATTCCTCTCAGAGTTTTGGGGCAAGATTATTAAATTCTTGTCAAAATAAAAATATATTAAAGAGATGTTACACAACTTACCTAAAATTATTTATCTTGCTTTGATGAATATCTTAACTTTTTATTGTTTAAATTTAACTGTTATTCAAACCACCAGCATTTGTAACTTATAACCATTTAGTTTGTAATTACTCATATGAATATTGCATGTTAACTGGACACAAAAAGAGCGAGCGAGATACTCCAACACCCCAATGGGCTTTGCACTGCCAGACTGATTGTGGCTGCAAACAAAAATTTAAACAAGTTTTGCTTTGTTCTGGTGACCATGACTCTGAGAGTACCTTGTGGTTATGCCTTCCCCACTCCTTCCCAGTCACACTCCTTGTGCTCTGCAACCTGTGCAGTTGGGTGGGCTCGGGAGTCCAATTCTTTCCCAGTGTGAATGGCTTGACTCTCATCAATCTGATTCTCAGATTTACTCGTGGCAAATGAATAAAAGACAAAGTCGTGGTGTACAAACCCACGTGTACTAGAATTTTAGCAGAGTAGATAGTGTGCAGGTGACGCTGTTTTTATGATTTTGGACGCTATGTCAGGTTTCAAGAAGGGTGATTTGTTTCTTATGAATAATAAACTATTTGAGCTTAATAACAAAATCACTGGATCATATCCCAGGCTAGAGAGAAAACATTTAAGGGTCTTGGTTTCTGAAAGGAGACTCGAGTTCTCATGCATTTTGTATAAGCTAAAGCCTGTACCTGTATTTAGATGATAAAATTGCTTCTTAGTTATTGGAACAACTGCTTATTTTGGGAAATTGTTGTAAAATGTCCCTGATTGAAGCATAGATGTTAGTGCCTCGGAATCCCTAAGTAACGTCACGTGCTGTATAATGCTCAAGAAAATTAGTCGAGGGTTCAATATTCGATTTCATTAAAAAGTGAATTTAATATATCGAATTTTGTAATGCCATGGCCAATTCCTTTTTTTTGAGGCCTTGTTTTATGTCAATGAACCCCCTCCTTCTCATTGCTCAGTTTTGTACTTAAAGTGGTAAAAATTAAAAAAAGCGCGAGAAAAAGTGTATCCCTCATTGATAGGCATACAAGCAAAATCAAAAGTGAATAATGTGCATGCCAACCTATCACTCACTGCTCATGAAGCATCAATTACTTAACTCTGTTATGCCAGTACCTCATTGTAAAAACTGAAGAATCGCAATAACTTTTGATTAGCTTTGTAAGTGGATATATTTTCTTTTTCTCTCACCATTGTCCCCTCTGATGAATGTGACAGAAATGGTGCGCACATTCTGGACGAGGATGTTGCAATGCATCTCGTGATGTTGTATATAGAAGAAAACAAGAAATAAGAGAAAATATCCTTTTGTGATCATTTCCCTTGTTCCTTGGAGGCCACAATCATCAGGGTTATTCTCCTCCCCCCATACTGACGTAACATGCATACAAGCAGATTATAGCGTTGTACATAGTAGGTCTTTGTACTTTTTACAGATTTTTTCACATATGCTTTGCTATATATATATATTCAACAATATGAGCTGATGTGTGCGGTTCTTAATGAAAGGCGAAGTCTATTTTTTCACATTTTCATGATAGAGTTAGCTCATGTCCTGAGTCACGGTAGTGTACATAGGTTAACCGAGAGCACATCAGTTCCATATTGGCCATGTTATTCCTAGCCACGTGTTTATAATGAATGTACAAATTTTTGGCTTGTTTTTATGATGTAAGTTCAAAATTATTATTATTATTATTATTATTATTGATATTATTATTGACCTTGTGTCTTGTATTTTTTCTTTATAAATTCTTCAGCTGCATGTCCCTAGACACTGCATTAGTTAACATTTTTTTTTTTAATACAGTGTAGTTTAGTCTGCTCTGAACTACATTTTCTGGGAGAAAATTTTTTCATGTGATGTAAGCCAATGAGGCCAAAATTGGTAACAAAAAATAATTTTTGACTTCATTTGCCTTTTATCAAAATTGTTGAAATTATGTTATAAGATTTGCCATTGCTTACCTATAAGTCCAAAATGTTATTCGATTTAATTGAAAAAATTGTTTTTATGAAGAAATTTATTAATGTACTTTATTATTTGAAGTCATTTATATAGCACAGTGTTACAAATTTAAATATACCAACTATATACCATATTTCTGCGTTTTCCTATTCTACCAATTCTGATAAGTTACATCTTTGTATACTTGCTACAAGTGCTTGTTGCCAGTTACAGACCCTACAAGTGCTTGTTGCCAGTTACAGACCCTACAAGTGCTTGTTGCCAGTTACAGACCCTACAAGTGCTTGTTGCCAGTTACAGACCCTACAGGTGCTTGTTGCCAGTTACAGACCCTACAAGTGCTTGTTGCCAGTTACAGACCCTACAAGTGCTTGTTGCCAGTTACAGACCCTACAGGTGCTTGTTGCCAGTTACAGACCCTACAGGTGCTTGTTGCCAGTTACAGACCCTACAAGTGCTTGTTGCCAGTTACAGACCCTACAGGTGCTTGTTGCCAGTTACAGACCCTACAGGTGCTTGTTGCCAGTTACAGACCCTACAGGTGCTTGTTGCCAGTTACAGACCCTACAGGTGCTTGTTGCCAGTTACAGACCCTACAAGTGCTTGTTGCCAGTTACAGACCCTACAAGTGCTTGTTGTCAGTTACAGACCCTACAGGTGCTTGTTGCCAGTTACAGACCCTATAAGTGCTTGTTGCCAGTTACAGACTCTATAAGTGCTTGTTGCCAGTTACAGACCCTACAAGTGCTTGTTGGCAGTTAGTCTTCACGCTATAAGGGCTTGTCAGTTATGATGGGATTTATTTGACTGCTTAGGCAAGCTCATTTGGGTCAAGAAACATTAGGTAGTCACAGACTACACTGTTGCAATTGCCAGTGAGCGGCCAATAGGCAAGATCGTGTTCCACACTTATTTAATTTTATGCATCAGTTGTTTGAACAATTAACCCATTCACCCATGTCACAATTTATTCATTTATGGGTGTCATTTGCCTTTCTCACTGTTTATGGCCTAAAGCAATAAATGACAGGACTAATTTCTAAATATATTTAATTAGTATAAACTTTCATTATGATAAATATACCAATAAATGGTATTACAGTGCAAAGTAAATGATAAATTTATGTTGCATCTAAGCTACATCTTTTACACCAAAATCTCAACGTTCAACACGTCAGGCTTTAAACATGCAAACTTTTGTGTTTCCATTTTTCAGGGAAACGACCAATCTGCTAAAATATGCGACATATTAGTACAATTTTAAAGTGCAATAATATTGACGTTTCTATACAAAGGCCATGATAGATTAGAGGGGGGGGGTTGGATGGGTTCGTATATTTCATGTTAGGCAAAACAGCTGCATTTTTATGGATTAGCGAATCAAGTGAATGAGATAATCTGAGATGCACAATATAGTTCACAGCCACGTTATCAAAACTAGTGGCTGATAATTATTATTATTAGTTTTGAGTTATCAAAACTTTCGTGATCATTAGTTTAAGAAACTCCTGAACTATTTAAATTGTTGGTAACAATGTAAATTTAACCTTAATACACACTTAAGGGTGAAACTCTATACTAATCTCACTGCCTAGATAAGTTAGGTTAGGCTTGGATTATGTTGGAATTTTTAGACATAATCCGGGTTTTTATGAACTAAAAGCATTATTTTGTTTAATGTCATGAGGCAACAAATTAGATGAGGAAGTAATCAGTGAGGAACAAGGTGGGCTGCTTGCTGTAATAGGTGTTGTGGATCAGGTATCTGAACTGAGAAAGATAGTAAAGAAGGCATGTGAGAAAGCTGGTAAAGTTTATATGGGATGTCTCGGGTTTAGGGAACGCATACGACAAAATGGACAATGTCTCATGAGAGTGAGGAACAGTGTCTCATGAGAGTGAGGAACAGTGTCTCATGAGAGTGAGGAACAGTGTCTCATGAGAGTGAGGAACAGTGTCTCAGGAGAGTGAGGAACAGTGTCTCAGGAGAGTGATAATCATGGTGTTCTTGGAATGCTGTTAAATGCTGTGACGAGTTTCATTCAGGAAGTAGAGCATGAGTAGGAGTTAATAGTGTAATGAGCGCTTGGTTAAATATTAATGTATGCCGGGTTGTGTAATGTTTCCATTGTAGCTCAATATATATATATGGATGGTCATGAGGCTTGTCGTGATTAGAATATTATAGAAGTGTGTGAGCCTAGTGTTTGCAGTAAGGGGAGGACAGTACAGTATTTCAGATGTGCTTGTAGATGATCCACTTCTTATAGCAATGAATGAAAATATTAGTGTAAATTAGTTAAAGATTATATCGAATGCGAATGAAATCCGCTAAAAGCATACAGATAGAGAAGAAATTGTGTCTGTGATCAGTTCAAATACTACGAGTGTGAAACTGGCGCATTGTTAAAGTTGCGTGAAGTGAATCTGGGAAGGAATACAGCTGATGCAATAGCTGGGAAGAACATGGCAGTGATAAACGGTGCCAGAGGGATGCATGAGTGTGGTGTTGCTTACCATTATCCACGGCACAAGTGCGGGTGTTTTATGAGTTATCAACACATCAGCAGTTAAGACCAGTAAACATTAACAATATTAAGCGTGCATATGGTATGAGTTGGACAGAACATGGAGCGATAATTCCTTGAGAAACAAAACCTGGTGGACCAAACTCTCACAAGTCAAGCCTGGCCTCAGGGCGGGCTTGGAGAGTAGAAGAACTCCCCGAGCCCCATCAAGCAGTTATCAAGCAGGTATTATGAAATTATAGGTATTAAATTTATGGGCAAGTGACGGCAGTTAAGTTCAGTTCATGTAAAATGCAGCTGATAACCATCCTGTGAGTGGCAGTGGAATAGGTTACAGCGAGTGACATCATGGGCTCAGGAGTTGAGCGCAAATGTTTGTTTTATCAAGGCAAGTTAAATATGATAAGCAGTTACATAGATTAATGTATATATCAACAGTCATAATGGCTTCGAGAACTGCATAGACCTCAATTAAGTAACTTAGCTCAAAAAGTTTAAATTTCGTTAAGGGAGAAACAAGTTTAACAATGTATATATACAAATTTAAAGAAAAATAATAACAGTGCAAATGTATTTGTATTTGTATTCAGAATGGAGGGAGGGAGCGAGGGAGGGAGGGAGAGAAAGAGGGAGGGAGGGAGGGATGGAGAGAGGTATGTGTTATGAGAAAATACTAAATAAATTAAACCTGGATCACGTCACCGGAAGTCAGAAGAACTAGGGTAAACATTACCACACAAAATTCTCAGGGGAACAGACAGGGAAGACAAGGCCTGGTCATTTAGTCTGAGGTGGTACACGAACAAGGACACAGTTCAACGCAATGTACTCAAAGGTACCACAGCTAGAGACATTTAAAAGGATTTTGTTAGTACATACCAGAACTGTGGACAAATGGAATGCGCTAAGTGAAGTGGTGGAGGCAGACACCATCATAGCTTCAAATGTATGATAACATTTACAATCATACATTGAAGGTTAAGAGGTGAGACCAAAGAGCGGGGGATTAAGCCTCGCCAGCACAATTAGGTAACCACCAGCACCCTGACTCTTATTTAGATAAATTAAACTACTTAAGAATAGATTAGTATTTGAAAATGACTTCAAATATTTTATATAATGTTGGTAAACGTAAAACACTGGTCTACAGTTACACAATGTAACACAGGTTTTGTTCCTGGAAAATGTTATTTTTGTTATTGATTATGCCTCTTAAATATAAAAAAATAACGATTATTCCCCTCAAACTTTGCTAGACGCTTTGACCTTGGCCTCAGACAGCTTAGGTAAGACGTGGTGAAGGTAGCTGAAGGCTGCTGACTCCTCCTTCAGAGCTGTGACACATTCTGTCTTCAGTCGGCAGCCCTCAGGGACCTTCAAGACGTCTTCCCTAAGCTGTCCCAGGCAGAGGTCAACACAACGTTTGACGACAAATAATATACATTTTATATACTTGGGAAGCATAAGCAATCAGAAAGTAACACTATAGTCGTAGTCCAAAGGCCCCGGATTCGATTCCCGGCTGAGGAAGAAACAAATTGGCAGAATTCTATTTATCCTATGACTCTGTTCACCTAGCAGTAAATACTGTAGGTACCTGGGAATTAGACAGCTACGGGTTGTATTCTGGAGACATTTGTGTGTGTACTCACCGAGTTGTACTCCTTTAGGTGTGCTTGCGAGGGATGAACTTTGGCTCTTTGGTCCCGCCTCTCAACTGTCAATCAACTGGTGTACAGATTCCTCAGCCTATTACGCTCTATCATATCTACATTTGAAACTTTGTATGGAGTCAGCCTCCGGTAGTCACCTAGTTGTGCTTGCGGGGATTGAGCTCTGCTCTTTCGGTCCGCCTCTCAACTGTCAATCAATCAACTGTTACTAACAACTATTTTTTTCACACACACACACACCCAGGAAGCAGCCCATTACAGCTGTCTAACTCCCAGGTACCTATTTACTGCAAGGTGAACAGAGCATCAGGGTGAAAGAAACTGCCCATTTGTTTCCGCCTCGGCTGGGAATCGAACCTGGGCCCTTAGGACTACGACTCCCGAGCACTGTCCACTCAGCCACGAGGCCCCTAATAATGTTTGTGTACTCACCTAATTGTGCTTGCGGGGTTGAGCTTTGGCTCCTTGGTCCCGCCTTTCAACTGTCAATCAACTGGTGTACAGATTCCTGAGCCTACTGGGCTCTATCATATCTACATTTGAAACTGTATATGGAGTCAGCTTACACCACATCATTTCCTAGTGCATTCCATTTATTAACTACTCGGACACTGAAAAAAAAAATTCTAACGTCTCTGTGGCTCATCTGGGTACTAAGTTTCCACCTGTGTCCCCTTGTTCGTGTCCCACCCGTGCTGAAGAGTTTGTCTTTGTCCACCCTGTCAATTCCCCTGAGAATTTTGTTGGTGGTTATCATGTCTCCCCTTACTCTTCTGTTTTCCAGGGATGTGAGGTTCAACTCCTTTAACCTTTCCTCGTAGCTCATTCCTTTCAGTTCCGGGACGAGCCTGGTGGCATACCGCTGAATCTTCTCTAACTTTGTCTTGTGTTTAACTAGGTATGGACTCCAAGCTGGAGCTGCATACTCCAGG